ACTATAATCCTACAAAATCCCTGACTTTGTGCAAGTGTACCTTTGAGAATTGATGCTGTTTTAAAGGCAAAGGGTGGTCACACCAAATATTTGATTTAGATTTTTCTTTTGTTCGCTCACTTTGCATTTTGAAAATTGACAAAAATAAACAATCATTATTTATATGTCTGAAAGCATTTTTTGTTTACAGCATTTTTCACCCCTGCCTAAAACTTTTGCACAGTAATATAATTTAGTGATAAAACCTGATTCAGTGCAGCATGCATGTTATTAAAAATCAAACTGCATCTACCCAATCCATCCAAATCTATCCAAAAGCAATATTACTTATAGTGTACCCAATTCTCACCATGTAAAGGCCAAACTAATGTAATATCCCTATCCTTAGCAATTATATCTGTTTCTTTTCCCCTTACAAATGTAAAACATGGGATTCAGATTATGCTGAGATTGGCATAAAAAGAGTTTGCTTGTATTTGACATCTCTTATCTAGATACTCCTGCAAGCTTGCTTAGATGAAAAATACATTTCCAATTAAATGAATGGCTGATTTTTTTGTTTGTAAAAACTGTATAAAATGTAACATTCTCCTTTGACTTTTATTCTAATGTGGCATAATGCAGACTAACCAGAAATCCTACAGCTATTTCTGATTTTAGTGAATCACGTCAATTTCATAAGTTTAGGTCTAGGTTCTAGAGGTTGTTTTAAGGTTTCGGTTACTTGAATATAGTGGTAAAATGATATAAAATAAACGTATGCATTCTGTGTTGAATCTTTTCATACCCACAACTACTTGTTCATAGCAACTATGACAGGAGAAAGGAAGCATCTTTTTGTGTTTATTTTAATAATTTGATTTGTAAAGGAACAGAACAGCTTTAAGGTCAAATCCTAAATGCTCTCTCTTTTGGTTTTCTATCAGATTATGGTAATGGCAGAGCTACTGAATTTAGACAATTTTTATAGCTGCCCTTCTTGCAATTATAATTGATAGCAAATTGAAGATTTTTAAAAAATAAAATAAAAAGAAAACTATTGCATAAAATGAATAACACAATGATAACACAATGGTGCCTGAGGGCAATGTAACCAAGTCCATATAATAGCTATATTAACAAAAAAAGAAATTGATGATATAGGCAAACCTCCAAATCCCATGCCTAAGAAAACATTGTCATTTTCAAGTTATTAGGAAATGACAGCAGGGTTGAGGACAAATGAATCTGAAGGGCCTGATGTTCCAAAAGATAGGTGCTTTGACAGAGAAGGCATGCTTCTTGTCATCCATTCCTCCAAGCACTGTTTGATGGACAAGATTTGCCTATCCTGTCAATTCTACTAGAATGGACAGAAACAATTGGAAAAATACACCATTCTTTTGTGCACAGTGGAAGATTACCAACCCTGGTTGCATTCCTCTTTGCTATCAACTCATTATTTCTACTCATACTGTTCATGTGTGAACAGGGATTATAAATAGGTCATTTAGTTCTTTAATTACTATTGTAGTAAATTTAAATTTGTTTTAAACATTTTAAAAGTTTATAGTACACAGGAAAGATACTCAGGTAATCAAAAGGAAGTTTTAGTTTGCATCAAATAACAGATGACACTATCACACCTCCTTGAAGATGGTTGAAGATTGGCTCATCCTCTTGTCATCAAGGTTTTAAAGTTTTAAAACAAACAAAAACTGGAACAAATTTATCCATGCAAGATGAGAAAGAAACTTTAGGGAGAAAATAGAAAGAAAAAGACGTCACATCATAAGATGATCTTATTTTAGAAAAATAACTCTTCAGTTATTAAAGGTATGGATAAAAGGAGCAAGACACCTGATGGCACAAAATGGAGGTAGAGTGAGAGCTTTATCCTTGTAAGGTTTGCACAACAAAGACCTCTATGGTCTTTGAATGTGGAGAAGATCAATTGTCCTACTTTTGTGATACTATACTAAACAGGTTATTCCGGGGAAGAAGGCCAGTCAGTAGGCCTTGCCCTTGAAAATGGGTAGTACTCACAGCATAGAAATTAGGATTGTGTGCTACCTCCTTCATTTTTCTCTTTTTATGCTTTGCCCTGACCCAATTTTATGATGTTTTCTTTTCCTCTTTCCTAGGAATTCCACGGCCTCCCCATCCTCCAGATATATCTCCTTATTATCCGCTATCGCCGGGCACTGTAGGGCAAATTCCCCATCCGCTAGGATGGTTAGTACCACAGTAAGGAGTTCCATTTTCTTAATTTTTTTAATTTTTCATTTTGTATGTATAAATGTATTTGTGGATATATACATAAAAGGGGATATTTTTTATGGTTATTTCCTTTGCCTGAAATGTGCATTTGAAAATAAACATGTTTGCCAGCTGCCAATTTATGACACTGAGAAATCAATAATTTGGTCAATAAAGATTATACATAGACATAGAATATTGAATAAGAATGATATGCAGCTTTTAATTGGTTTTAATTTCTGATTATCCATGAAATGTTTATTTCAAATGTTAGTACAAAGTTCAGGATAGTTCAATATTAGCAGTTTTCTCATTTTAATAGTTATTTTTATGATTCTTGATACTTGTTTGTATTCATCCCTAAAGATAAATTATTTTTATGTCTTGAAATATTTTTTATTTTTATAAAACATGTTTCAAACTTTAAGAGGGAAACTATTGATGAAGAAAACAAACTGTTTTTTAAAATGTGTTAATAGAATGAAAATTAATCAATGATTCCAATTTTAATCAAAGTGTTTATTGCCTTTTTAAAGCTATGTAATGACAACTTTACAGTAGTTCATGAACCTGACATGACTTACGAGTTGTGGATCACACTAGAATTATTCAAGCAGAATTTTCAATGTCTTACTTAGCAATAAACAAAACAAAAAAGGAGGTTATCAAACATATTTGGCATGTAAATAGCCTAATGTATTTAGTGTAATTGTCTCCCTAGCAAATAATTCTTAGCACTTACTTGTTCTATTCCACATGCTCAAGAAGGAGAATCTCAATAAAATGTGCAAATCTTCACATAATTTAGCTGATCAAATGCACCAGATATTTTAGGCACTATAATATTTCAATGTTTTTAGCATATTTGGCTTTTGCTCATGAATTTTCTAACTTTTAGCTTTAAATGATCTTCTATGACTAATGGAATCTACATGGCAAATCTCTATTGCGTATTTATGCTACACATTCCTTTGCATATTAATAATGCAAATTGTTGCATAAAATTATACCAATTATTATTAATATGTTTTATTTTAAATAAGTAGAAGGTTGTCAGCTGCTTTGCACAACAAATGGCTTTCACCATGCATACCTCTATAAAGTTATTTATTATTTTATTTTGTGAAAGCCTCCTTCTTGTCATTATCCAAGTTATTTTTATTTTATGGATGAAAAGTATAATCCAGAGGTTGGAGAAAATTAATGATTTTTATGCCAGAGAAAATTAACGAATAAAAAAAGCAATGCATTTCTATTACAGTAGCAAGATTTTACAATGTGTTATTTCATTAGCTATCTCTGTAGGATGCATCTGCATGAATCACTTCTGCAAAAAAAAAGAAATAAATTAATATTTAACAGCTTTATCTCTGGTTCTATTTACATAAACATATTATTGTATTTCTACAACATTCATTGCAAAAAATCCTCAATACTAAATACTTTAAATATATGATTATTCTACTTATCTCTTCATGCTTTTTTGACCAATTTACATTTAATAACATTGGACCCACTCCATGCCAAAACACGTTGGATGTATTTAGGATATAAATAGTACCAACAACAATAACAATGCATACCAGGCAAAACCTTTTCCATTCAGTTCAAACATTTGAAATACAGATAAAAAATAATATATCATAGATAAATAAACCTCAGTCAGAAAAATCTATGAAGCTTTCATAAGAATGCTGTTTGGTATGTTGCTGTATTTTTTAATTATTGTAATGAGGTATGATTGTCTATTGGTTACCCACAATACTTCTTGGGGACTCTCCCCTGGTAACTCTTGTCAACACTTGTTAATCTGACAAAAGGCTACAAATTAAGCTCTGTTAATTTAATGTTTTCTCACCGAGATCTAAATACCAAAAGAGGCCCAAAGCGCAACTGAAGTCCTTTGATTCACTGTACTTTATTTTGGTATAAATTTACATTCATTATTGTTTTCCTTTGGATGTGTAGCCCTCAATTAGTGTGATGGCTCCATTAAAGCAAGCAAGACTTCGCCTTTAATTATTACAACAAAACACCTAGTTTCAGCTTGGGGAGAGGGTCTCTATTGACACAAGCAGAGGTTATAAAATTTAATTAGCCATTCGTATCAGATTTATGGCATTCAAATTGCTCTGAGTTTCTTTCCTTTGATCTGTTGCTGTACAATCCCCAAGATTTTTGTTCCAATCAAACAAGAATAAAACTTACTGGGCAGAGAACTTTATTTTTATTTTTTTTAAATCCCCTATAATTGTTTTGTTTTTTTACTCATTTCCTTTCCTATTTTTCTAGGCAAGGTCAGCCAGTCTATCCAATCACAACTGGAGGATTCCGACATCCCTATCCCACTGCTTTAACCGTCAATGCTTCTATGTCAAGGTGAGTTCAAAATACCTGAGTCTAAGATATGGGTCAACTGGTACTTCCATTTATTATTCATTTTGAATGACAAAACTTTGCTAAATCATATGCCTTAATTATACACTGATCTCCCCAATTAATATGAAAAACTATCCTCCATTGTTTTCTCATTTTAAAAAACCCTATCATATATAATGAAATACTATGATTAGAAGTGAATTTGTTTTAACTGACAGCTACAATAACTGGAGGAAAGCAGTTTAGTAACCCTAGGATATTAAGAAGCCAGGAGCTTATGCTCTTAAACATTTTGTTTTCCCAATGGCCTCTTCCTTCTAACATGAGCAATCTACTTATTGTGCTGTTAGAGGGGTGTTAAAATTTCTCCTCATTCCCAAATATTTTTACTTCAGATAAAAAGACCCACCTGATCTTCTGATGATTAAGAGATACATATTTATTTTCTTTTCCCCAAACTCCAATTAATTCCACCTAATTTTCCAAGAGATGATAGTTTATTTACAAACTGCTTGGCAGGACTATGTTTAAGTAATCACTAATTGCTCCTAATGATAGTTTTATTTTCTGTTCATCTGATTTTCAGTCCAGTTAATTAAATCGGTGGAGGTTTAGACTTTCCTGATGGGCTGAATCAGCTAATCCATTTTGTTGATGGCTCATAATTGAATTAGCATGTATTACATAGCAAGGATCTAGATTCAACCTCATCTCTTTGAAGGCTTGATAGCAGAAGGGGAAGAGTCTTAAAAATAGCAGGGATTTGAAGAAATAGAAAGGAAGCTTTTTGGCCAATGGAAAAAGCCAAATAAACAAATTCTATCTGCAGACACATTATTAAAATTCCACGCTCTGCTGTTATTTTGCTATTAATTTTGTATATATGTAAAAAATAAGCAGGGTCTGAAAAGATGTCATCGACTTCAGTTTAATTGTTATCAGTGAGGTTGTTCTATTTATTTTGTTTAGTTTTTCGCAAGAGAAGGAAACGTGAGAGAAAGGGGGACAATATATTCCTTAGCTATGCCTTTATGAAAGAGAGCTAGTTAGAAGGGATATACAGCAAACCAAATACATTATTGTGATAAGGGGATGACAGAAGTACAAGTCTATTATACTTACAACAGTTATAAGAATTGTATGCTCCTTGCCCTACTCTGGCACATCCTTTGATATTCATTCTATTCAGCAGCAGGGCCAGGACTTTTCAGAATTAAGTGATGGGTCATTATACTTTAAACACCACGGAGAAGCCTAGATTGGCAATTAAACAGCACTTGCTGACACTTGCTTGTGCCACTCCGTGACCCCCTTTAGATTGAGATGTTGAAGCTCGGGGCCCTCAGCCTGCTAAATTGGTCGTAGGCACTTCTCCTGACGAGGGCTGGCTCTGAAATCTGCCGGCTTCAAAGGGAGCAAGATCATGTATAAAGCATAATGTGGGTGCACCATGGTTCAGGAAAAAAAATAAAATAAAATGAGGCAGGAATAGATGAAGTGTTACAAGTGCAAGAGGAAAATGAGAGGATAATGACAAACCCAATGCAACTCAAAGCAGAATAGTTGCATGGAAAAATGCATCCCACTGCTTGTGCATAAAATCAAGGCAGGCAGATGACATCCAGTTAACAGAAACATGTCAACAGTGAAATAAAGTGAGGGTGAATAAGAGAGATAAGCCCCTGAGACAGCCGGGAACAAAAAATTAGTTGTCCTTAACAAGTTACAGCTCATCATTATATTCTGGCTTGGAGCCATAAAAGCAGACAGGGTATATAATGAGCTACTTAGAATTTTTACAGTGTTTATTGCAATTCGGATAGATGCTGGTCTGCCAGAAGAAAGTCAAAGACATAGGATCTCACTCTGTCTTATGTTCTTATATAATGTATAGAGTACTATTCCTTGTATACTTAGGAACTCAAAAGAGACATAAAGCAAAAATCCATATGTACATAGTGGCAGGTATATCACATACACAGAGAAGATGTTTAAAAAATAACTTTTGACACTTTTATTTAATATGGCATTTTTTAAAAAACTGTGGCCCAGTCACAAAACATGGTCCAGTTAATATGTCTTTTGCGTGACTGGATCACAGTTTTGAAAATGTAACTTTAACGATTAATGTCGCTTTTATTATATTGCCATGTTGTAATGAATACAGGTAGTCCTTGACTTACAACAGTTTGTTTAATGTTTGTTCAAAGTTATAATGACATTGAAAAATGTGACTTATGACTGTTTTTCACACTTAACCACCGTTGCAACATCCATGTGGTCATGTGATCAAAATTCAGATATTTGTTTTTTGCAACAGACTTGCATTTATGACAGTTGCAATGCCTCAAGGTCATGTGACCCTCTTTTGCAACCTTCTGACAAACAAAGTCAATAGAAAAGCCAGATTTACTTAAAACTGTTTAACTAACTTAAAAACTGCAGTGATTCCCAACTTCAAAATAATGATTAAAAAACAATCATTCTTTTTGAAGTATTGTTTCAAAAACAATATGGCAAAAAGGGTCATAAAATGGGGCAAGCTCACTTAACAAATGTTTCATTTAGCAACAGAAATGTTGGGCTTGATTGTGATTGATGGTTAAGGACTACCTGTAACTCTTTTGGTTAATATTTAATACTTTTGACACCGTACCCTCTCATTTCAATGAAAATAAGAAAGTAAAGTGTAGCTTTCCTTCCTGACATTTGGATGCATATACATACATCTTTCAAAATCAACTCTCTTTTTTTTCATCCAAAGTAAAACCATCATTGGGGAATAGTAATAAACTCAGAAACTGAGTCTGAAGCTTTTAAAAATCAAACAGATTTTAGTTTTGAAGTTGGAAATCATCATTGTTTTTCAGAACATTGGAAAACCTTCTCTTCCTTTATTTCTTTGCTTTATCAATGGTCTTTATTGTTTTTCCCATCATTTAAACATTTTACTAAATTTAGACTTTTTCAAAGCTTTAAATATATTATTTTTCCAAGGTTAAGTTTCACGAGGTTTAGCTTCATCTCATCATGACTTTGCCTCAGATTTTCCCGAGTGAATTAGGAAAGAAGTTATAGGTAGAGAATTGTGTGAATTTTTCCTTTTCATTCACATGAGAAAAAAATCTTGTCCTAATGACACTAAGATAAATAATTCAATGTATTATTACAGTCAGAGTTTAAAGTACACAGTTTAAGACTATTTTTTGTGTGCTGAAAGCTCAGTTCCAAAATTCCCAAAGGCTACATTCTGAAAGATTCCAGGTTGGAGAAGGGCGTATTTCTACCTTGATGATAATAATAATAGACATTTTCTCCTTACACAGCAAAATATAATTGCAACATCATCTGTTTTTAGCACTAGTATAGCTAGTTCTTCCCACTCTTATCAAAAATCAGACAGAAATGAATTAAATAGCTGTTTTAGGATATGTCTGATATCTCTTCATCAACTTTTACTTTTCTTCCTTGTTCAACCAGTTTGTCATAATTTGACTTTCCAAACTTGCTTTTAAAGTTAACACATCTGCCTTATTGCTTATCCTTTTGTCTACTAGCTTTTTAAAAGTTAAGAACTATTTAAGATAATGCAACCTTCATAAAAATAGGTTAGGTTTAGTACCATGTTTTTTCCTTGTGCGTCCCTTAGGTTTTGACATTCAACTCAAGAGAATCTACTGCTTATCCATATTGTTGAAGGAACACAATTGAAAAAACAAGCAAATATTTTTATAAGGTATCAATAAAACTACACCCAATTTACCATAGTCAACCATGATCCAAAAGAGATTGGACAACCTTTTGTCTGAAATGGTATAGGATTTCCTGCCTAAGCAGGGATTTGGACTAGAAGACCTCCAAGGTGCCTTCCAACTCTGTTATTCCATTAGTCTTTAATCTGGAATTGAAAGTTTTTTCTTTTCATTCTGTGTTCTGTTTCCTCTTTCAATCTCTTCTTCCTATTCCATTTGTTTTCATATATGTCGAAGAATGTGAATCCTTTCTGATTAAATGATTCTTTAGGTGTTTTTCATCATTTTCCACAAGCGTTTTACCTGTGGAAAATGGATTTTCCATTTTCAAGGTGGAGATAGTTTTTGCTCTATTCAGTAGAACAGTGAGGTTTGTTTCCATGAATTGTTGTGGTGGGTTGCACATTCAGCCAGATATTTAAGGCTGGGTTTGGCAATTTTATCCCCCTTTTTAGCCTTTCCAAAGGACCTGGGATGAACATATGTTCTTGTTTTATGGTGTTAAAAATATTGTTACATTATGTAACCTGTTCCAGGTAAAGCTGTCTTTTACAACTTTTTCTTTTTACTTTGTCAATGCCAATGATGTTCAAATTGACGTAGTATATGTATAAATCCAAGCAGTGTAGTCTTTTATAATTTACAGATGAAAATTTTGTCAGTGTAGACATATAATAAGTGCCATCCCACATTTTCTGGTATGGCACCTAGTGCAGTAATCACCAGTGGCACACTATGGCCACTTAATGCCATAATCTTTAAATTTCAATTTTCAGATCTTGATATCTGCTACAGTTCTTTGTCTTATATTTTAATATTTGTTGGCATTACCAACTCAGTTATCCACATTTTCTTCTTTTCAACCATAATGAAATCTAGTGTGTTACAAGCCAAGACTTTATCAGTTTCTACTTGGAATCCTACAATATTTTAACCTGTTCATTTTCTACTACTTTTAAAACTATATTCCCCATCACTTTTATTAGTAGCATGTGATTTTTACCGATATTCCAGTGAATTATTTAAGTAATTGCGTTATGTCACTGTTTATAGTCAATGTATGAAATCTTCTTAAATAAGTTGAGTTGAGATGATCTACTGTGTCTTCTGTTGTTGTTATTGTTGTTTTTTTGCACAATTTGCACTTTGAATAATTTGACAATATTTTAATTCTGGCCTTGATTGCTTAAGTTTGAATAGCTTTCTCTTGAGCAGCCAAAACAAAGACTTTGGTTTATTTTCTTCTTCTTTTCTGTTTGTAAGCCACTGCCCGGTTTAATCTTTACCATCTTCCTTCTCAATATTTTATAGAAATTGATCATGCTTTTTTGCCAGCATAGTTTTTATTATATCATTTTGATATTCGTGTTTTATTTCCTGCACATTTACAAAGTATTTACAGTTCAGTAAATTTTTAACTCGCATCAATGTTTCTTCTTGGCCAATCTCCCTGAGATTTAAATTCCATTATTATACAGGATTTTATCTACTTTATTATTACATGAACACATTTCTATAGTATCAACTCCCTTTGAGAAATCTGTACTAAAAATTCTTACCATATTTGCCAAGGACAGAATTTCTGTTTCTGATTTTTCAGAAAGCTTCAGATCTTCCTGATAAAGCAAACATCAGATTTTATTATCAGTTTTGGCTGCTTGGTAGCCAAGAATTGTTTTCTTTAATATTAATAAAAATGAGATCATAGCAATGGCAAGTAATAAAAATGATAATTAATGTCAGGAAAGATATTTATCCTAATGTTGGCAAGGCAAAATTTATTATTATGTTTGTCAAATGGTCAGTCAGATGTTCAGACTGGATTTTGCATTTTGATCCATCTATTGAGTCCTTCATCAGGATCTGGAAGAGGGAGATAATATTGTTTGTTGGTATTAAAAGTGACATTGCAGGATGTAAGCTGTTCCAAAAATTATTATTATGGTTGGTGGCATAATCAACTAGATGTTTAGATTGGATTTGGCATTTTTATCCACCTAAAGTCCTTCCCAGGGACCTGGGATAGGCAGATATAGCTGTTTGATGGTATTAAAAATATTTTTAAGAAATATGAGCTATTGAAAGTAAATTTGTAATTAACTTATGGTGATTTTGGTGTTCAAGTGGTGCTCCAAATGTGAAATCACAACTTCTAATTATTTCGTTGGTTTAGTTTCATGCACATAAAAAACTGGGATGCTGTTAATAGATGAAAATTTGCAGATTTTCTAAGTGGAAAAAATGGAAAAAAATTATAAATACCAGGACTTGCAGATCAAAGTTAAAATGAAAAACTTGTAATAACAATAGAAGTGGTAGTGAAAAGGGCAAGGAAAATCAAGAATTGTTCAGCACTCAGTGAAGATGAAATGCATTTTTTTTCTGTAATCCATTCATTGCCTAGCCATTTAACAACATACCAAAAGGAAGTGAAATGAAGAAATTAACATCTGGTAAAACCTACTTGATAATGAAAGATCCAGCAAAAGGGGCAGCGCCAGGCAACTACAGGCCAAATACCTACTTGCTAACAAATTCCAAATTGCTAATTAGTGTGGTAGGCTGATGCAGTCTAACATTATCCATCTAAGCAGAAGGAAAATTGCTCAAAAGATCAGTGCAAGAGAAGGAAGACCAACTTGAATGTACAGATAGTGCTCAACTTACAATGGTTTACAGTCACAATATTCATGTAACAAAAAGATTGTAAAATTGGGCATGGTGACGTGACTGCCATGAGTTATAACTATAATTGTGGGCTCAATTATGGTCAGAAAGTGAAAACTACCTTAATTTGGATTGATTATAAGAAAGTATTTGACACTCTGACATATAATTAGATAATCAGGTACCTAGAAATATCAGGTCAATAGAAATTTTGGAAGCTTTGTGCAAAATTTAATTGCAGAATGAAAGACATCATGTGAGATGGAAGAAGTTAATGTGAAGAGATGAATCTTTTAAGCAGACTCACTATTACTGTTACTGTCTGTTAATGCACCGATTCATCTATATACAATAATGAACAAGGCAGGCCATGGCTATAAAATATCAAAGTATTTTGCCAGGTAGAAGAGGATTTATAAATGAGTTTATAGACAATGGAGTGAGATATGGAATGACAATGTATTTGGTTGGGTTTTAAAGGATAGTGATAAGTTGCTAGTGTTGAATATACTTAGTTGTGATTAAGGAGGAAACTTCTTAATACTGCAGTGGCAGTTAGGCTGGACAAATATACCACCCTTACCATTAACAGGAAAAAATACCTAAAACTGAAGTAATCCAGATGCCCTATGGAAATAATAACAAGAGTATGAATGAAGATGGTCAGTAAAAAAATACCTGGGCATCTTTCAAGTTAACAGCACCAAGCATACTGAAGTCAAGAAGAAGATTACTAGTGAATATTTCAGAAGAATGAAGAATATCTTTAAGTCTAACCTCACTGGTAAAACATTATAAAGGCAATTAACAGCTGGGCAACACCAGTCATTAGATATACATCTGGATTAGTAGACTGAGGGTGAACTGAAGTAAAAACCCTGAATAGGAATACCAGTAAAATAATGATAATGAATCATGTCCTTCATCCATGAAGTGATATTGACAGTTTCTAATTACCAAGGAAATAGGTGTCCTTGAAAAAAAGGTATTGGAAGAATATCTGAAGGACAATGAAAAAGTGCACTGAACCATAAAGACTTATTGAATGCTAAAAAGATCAATGACCTGTAAGAAAGACCAAGTGAATATTATAAAAGATACATGGGAAGGTAAAGTATTAGAAAGCTGATACATTTAAAAAATAATTAGCAGGTAAAGTAGATAACAGTGATGGTTGAAAACGGGTAATGGCCTAGAGCCGGAAAATGGAAAGTTAATCCTGGCTACACAAAACCAAGCCTTAAGAATAAAAATATCAGGGGTGGGTTCCTGCCAGTTCTAACCTCTTCTATAGAAGAGGTTCCACAAATCTACAATGCTATTTAGAACTGGTTCTAGCTCCCTCCTCCCCGCCCATCCACACATCATCAAGATGAAGAGCGAGAGGAGGAATTCTGGGAGTTGAAGTCCACAAGTCTTAAAGCTGTCAAGTTTGAACACCCCTGGGTTTTTTCTAAAGGGTTAGGGGTGCAAGGGTCTTGTAACTTAACAGCTTTAAGACTTGCACACTTCAATGCCAGAGTTCCTGAGCCAACATGACTGGAGGAGGAAATCTGGGAGAAAGACCTGCAAAGAGAAGTAGGACACTGTGGCAAAAATAAACAAAGATAGTACCAACATAGTTAACCAATATTCTATAGCAATATACTGACTTTTGTGCAATTCCAAAACACCCAGAGCATCACTTGAACACCATCAGCATTGACAAATCATCCTCCGTCAATTGTAAAAGGCATTTTTACTTGGAATAGTCTATATCCTGTGAGAATATCTTTAATATTATTAAACAATAATATCTGGGGTCCTTGGAAAGGACTTGATGAATGGTCAAAAATGTCCAATCTAAACAACTGACTGATTGTGCAACCAAGCATAATAATAATAGTGTCAGCCTTGTATAGTCGCATGGTTCCTTAAGGATCAATTTTGGCCACTTTAGGGAACTCTACCATAGAGGTAAAAGCATTGCAATGCTATATACTCCTGTGACATAAGAGTATAGGAAATATTTCTTTTTTCTACACAAGTCAGGAAGATCCAGGACAAAAGCAGCCTTTATATCCCCCAGCATCCCAACCACAATAGGGACAAACCACAAATGCAGAATTCTACTCCTATCCATATTGCAATTTTAATTTTGTATTTTGATTCTGATTTTAAAAAAAAACTACTGACAGTTGGAGTTTTATTTTATGGTTTAAGGCCATGAAATTTAATGAGCTTTTGGGAAAAAAGAAGAGCCAATCTTCCTTTGTCAGGTGAAAATGTATTGCTTAAGTAAGGTAGATATTTTGCTATATTTTGATTGGTACTAGATTAATTGAACTATTTCTCTGAGATCGAAATATTTATAAACTGACATATCCAATTAGCTTATTTATTAATGTAGTTTCATCCCCAACTCTCTCTCTCTCTCTCTCTCTCTCTCTCTCTCTCTCTCTCTCTCTCTCTCTAAGGAAGAGGGGGGACATCAACCACCTATCCTTTTGTATATAGATTTTGTTAGGTTTTTAAGTAAACACTAATCAGTAATATGCTTGCAGTTACTTATTTTAAATACTAGAAACATGAGATATTAATTTTCAGTCTTCTAAGCTGTTAAACTACAATACCTATCATCTCCAATAATCTTGGTAATGATGTATATGCAACATATATTCCAATATTATGGATTTCACCAATTTGTTGCTTAATTTAAAAAAATTAAAAATTGTTCTGTATGACTTTTTCCAGTTCTCACTTATTCAAAATTGTCCTGCATTAGTTCATTATTTAAGTCAGGTTGTACTATTCATGTAATATTAGATAGCCAATAATAAATAATGTAACTTATAATAAAATACACCTGGAGAATATAGATATATTTGTATTTTGTGAACTTCAGAATATATTCTTATTTTTGTAATGCTTATTGAAATGTAGTTACATAGAAATAGCCATTAAATTTCCTTATAAAACAAATGCCCAAAATTTTATTTTCCCTATGATGATAAGTACTAATATAGCAATATATATATATATAATACAATATAAAAATTGCACATCTTTTTTATATTGCTTTACTATTGTACTGTTAACATTTTATTACGTATTAATATATATAACAAAACAGCCACCTTTAATCTTCCATTTTTAATTTCTAATGCTAATTTCTAATTTCTATTTTTCATAATTTGCTGCATATTAAGATGATCACTTTATATTCAAGTGAATGAACTGTAATTGTGTTGTGTTTCATGAATTAAATTGCTACTTATATGTGTTAGATTTAAAAAATCAGTGATGTTTATTAAATGAATTCTTCAATTTAATGACCAGAGATACATCATTTTTTTTAAAAAAGTATTTTGAATAATGGTACCAAGTTTCATATGCTTTAATAGATATTCTAGTATTGTGTCTTTTATGATATGTGTGTACACAACTGTCCCCATTCATTCATTATTCTGACGAATTACACAGCTTTATCTCCTCTAGGTTCCCTCCACACATGGTTCCTCCACATCATAGTTTACATACAACTGGGATTCCTCATCCAGCAATAGTCACCCCAACAGTCAAACAAGAATCTTCCCAGAATGATGTTGGCTCACTCCATAGCTCGTAAGTTGTTGTTACAGTTACTTACATTTACATTGTTTACATTTAAATTTAGTTTAAAATGGTGGTCTAATTTGTAGCAAGTGGTGTTGGAAATCATTTCTGTATACCATTGGGATTGACATTTTAGAACATAGGAAACTGACTTAGACTGAGTTTGATCATTGGACCAATTAGCTCAGTGATTTACAGTGACTTTCCAGTGTTTCCAGCATGAATCTTTTAATATCCTATTGGAAACTGACAGGGATCAAAGAATCAACCTTTGTCCTGTAAGATTACGTTCAACCACTGACCTATTATCCATTTGTTTTAAATTTGTCTACTTGAGCATTTAAGCTTTAATTAAGATCTCTGTTGACTCATCAATCAGTGTTTTGTTCATAGTGATGTCATGTTTATTTAAACAAAGTAGTTTCTTTGCTTGGAGAGTACCAGCGAAAAGCATATTTATGCTTTCACGTGTGAAATTATATATCAAACATGCATATAGTAATTGAGTCAAGATCATAAACTGCAATTGGAACAGTCTGGAATCTCATTTGTGTAGTTATGGGGTTTACAGCCTTAATATTCTTTACAATATTATTCTCATGTGTTTAATCCCAATCTATCTTTTGATCCTATCATGATTCATATACATTTGCTGTAAAATCAGTGTATTTATTGGCTAACTTTAGAATAATCAAGTGAACATTTCATATATCTCCGCCAAGCACAGTCTTGTATATAGGGTGCTCTGTTTCCATCCTGTATGGCTGAGGATTTTCTTTTCAGTTATTGATTCCTGAGACTATCCTATAATGCTTTTTATTTAAACTATTTGTACCACCTTAAAAAATCTTTCTCTGCTCTCAGCCATTATTGCACCATATATACCACCCATTCTGCTGAAATAAATGAAAAGGCAATAATGTAGTGTACTATTCTTGTCTATAGTCTTGTGAAATAATAGTACCATACTATTTTGCAGGTGCCCCATTCATTATGTGTATATTAAATAAGATGAGGACAGATAAAAAGATAGATAGATAGTACATAGTAGATAGATAGATAGATAGATAGATAGATAGATAGATAGATAGATAGATAGATAGATAGATAGATAGATAAACTTTAAGGAGATTTTACCCCTGCACAATGGGATATAAATTGTACTTCTAAAACTTAAATTGAATATTTCCTGTATTTTATAAAATGTCCCATTTTTATACCTCCTTGAATGATTCTCAAATGTAAGAATTTTTTTAAAAAAACTATCTAGTTGTTGCTATGGTTTTATTTGAGAAGAGGTTAAAATATAGAATATATAAGGTCATGCAAGTTCTGTGTTTTTTTATTTGTTGTCAACTGTCTAGAAAACATCAGGACTCCAAAAAAGAAGAGGAGAAAAAGAAACCACACATAAAGAAACCTCTTAATGCATTTATGTTGTACATGAAGGAAATGAGAGCGAAAGTTGTAGCAGAATGCACGCTGAAAGAGAGTGCTGCCATCAATCAGATTCTTGGTCGAAGGGTAGGTAACTAGTCATGGTATATATACAAAGCTTATTAGATGAAACAAGCAAGGTGGCTAAAATGAAAGGACACAATCCATAAATATACTTCAGGGGAAATTATGCCTATCTCACGGAATGTGTAGCCTTTTTCTAACTTTGTTGCTTTAACATGATGGGCTTTTGGCATTTCCTTATGTTTTAGGGTAACATATAGATGATTATTACATCTATATGTAGTTACACTTCTACAGCATAACAAATTGCTATCTAATGTCAATAGATGTGTTTCCTATTTCCCTTGATTTTTAGATTTGAATGTAATCACTGCTTTCTCATCTTCATTTGCCAACCAAATCTGCAGCCTCCGTCCTCAAAAATATTTGGTGTGCTTTTTATTTCTCTTGGTTTTTAAAAGTATTTTGGTGGATGGATTCAATTTCTGATCCATATTTGCAGTCTCTTGGAGCAGGAACATCCCATCCACAAAGTTTTAGACATCAGTGCTGGAATCTCTAAATGCAAGAACCCTAAATATCTGATAAGTAGATGTCTAAGAACCATCATTTAGCAATGTAACTAATAACAACGCAGAATTACTATTAATAGATACTACTGCTGCTGCTGCTGCTGCTGCTGCTGCTGCTGCTGCTGCTGCTGCTATTTTTGTGACATTTAGCCTTCCTTTTAAGGGTGAGACTGACTGACTGGTAAAAAGTTACGTTTTTACCATGTTGAAAATTAAACAGTTTGTTGTGCAGGCAAATCATACATCATTGAAAGTATGATATGAAAGGCTACAAAATAATTTTGTCTCACACTCAAAATACAGCTTAGTACAAATATAATCATCCTTGAGGTATTACACCTTTCCTTCTTCCTAAATGGCAATTAATTGAATTGAGTAATCATAAAGTGGAATTTTTATCAGCAACAATGTATCATCCATATCTATTGATATGTTATGTAGCTTTATAAGAAGTACTGAATACTCTTTTGATTGTTGCTCTGCTTTCTTTTTCGTTACAGTGGCATGCACTATCTAGAGAAGAACAAGCAAAATATTATGAATTAGCCAGAAAGGAACGACAACTTCACATGCAGCTTTACCCCGGCTGGTCCGCACGGGATAACTATGTAGGTGGCTATGTAGGTAGAATTCTTTTCAGTAGTAGAGATTGTAGACAAGTACTGCTGTAATCTGCTGAAGTACGCCCACACACGAAAGACAAGGACTACCAATCCGGTAATTATAGCGGATGTTTCCGTTCTGTCACCAACTCAATTGGATATAATTGGCACCCATATTCAATAGAGGTGTGTCAGTAAAGTTTTGGTGAGAACAAATTTCTTGCAGAATTTATATTCTATTAGAACTTCAATTTTTTATACTTTACCAAAATGATAGTAATATAATTATCCAGTTCTTTTCTATTCTCACCTTCATCTCTTTCTCCAACCCCCAAAATTGAGTGCCTTGTTGCATACCTGTGTGAGAGTATGGTGGAAAGTGGAAGAATGGCTTACCCTAGCTTCAGAGAAGGCAAAGATTTGTTGGAAGTCTTGCTCTTAAGTGGGGCTAAATATATTATTCCACCCTCTACTGTTTTATATTTTACTTCATTGTACAATTGTCTGTCATGATCACAGTGTTTAAAATGATGTTGGCTTACCAGTTACCCTGCACTGGCTTTTGTTATTTATCCCCTTTCTGATCTAAGTTTCCCAGATCCTGAATTGGGAGCTTGGTTGAAGAGTGCATCATACACAATCATGGCTATGTGTTAACTTTGCTGATACATTATGAATGAACATTTATTCTGTAGTATTCATTTAAGCTTGGCGAAAATGGCTGGATGTGTGTTTTGATGTAGAGGGAGGATTTGAAGATCTATATCTGATACATCAGTTTGTATTCATGATTGTTTATTTCCATATATTTGTGACTGAAATAAGAATTTATTTCATAAGGTGCAATAGGAATCTCCCAGTGCAGGTATTGCATCAGTGTGGACCATTTCCAATATGAACCTTAATCACTTAATAAAACCAAATCATTCCAAACCAAAACTAAACCAATAGCACCACAAACACTCCAATAAGTGTTAACATACATTTTAATCAGAACCCACATATTTTCAATAGCAATTGATAGAATATAAGTCAAAAAGCGGGGAAATAAGTTTATTCTGTTTGTATAAAAGTCTGTCCTATTTATTGCTAAACTGTGTGGTAGATTTGAATCTGATTGGGCAGCTATAAAAACCATTTTAAATTTTAAAAACCCAAAGGAATACATTGCTTTGTAAAGACAGTAAAAATAAAATGATAATCTGCCTAAATTCTGAAAGCAAAGAAATGAAAATGTGGTGTAAACATCCTATCAATCCATCATATCTGACCTGATTAAATAAAACACTTTACACATGTTCTGCAGAGTCTAATATCCTGTTTAAGCATCTGGGCATTCAAAAAGATATAATTCCAAAGGTTCTGGTTGATAACTCTTAAGATAGCCAACTGCCAAAAAGAGGGAAAGGGGAATTTTAGAATGACATGCTATTCAAACATATACAATTTAAATTGCTCTATCTATGTTTTTGCAATATATGGAGAATGTCTGACTTCTTTTGGCTTTTGATAGATTTTTAGTTTACTTTGTTTATATATTACACTAGCCCATTTTGCAAAATCAAATTCACTCATTCTTATTTCAGTAACTTAACAATATTCCTTAAATTCATTTTTATGAATCTGTTTGATAATGTTGAGTGTTTCTACTTAGATTATTTTAACAAGTTTCTACATAGAAATAAATATATTATCTATTTATATATTTATTTAAATATATCATACCAATCATGGTACATGATACATAAATATCATGGTTAAACATACCATCAATCATATCAAGCATAAGCATTAAACAACGTACAAGGCAGTGGTGTTATTCAAATGATTTAACAATCGGTTTTCTGCCCTAATGATTTCTTCCAACAACCAGCTCACCAAACTGAAAGTTAACAACCGGTTCTCCCGAAGTGGTGCGAACTGGCTGAATCCCATTACTGGTACAAGTTCTGTTTCTGAGGCTGGCATAGATGAAGGTTTTGTTTTAAATGCTAGCAACCCATATATGATATAAAACATTCAAATTATCCTTTTCAAATCCATGCCTGTCCCATTTATTAAAGTTTTTTTCCCTATTGTCTCTAGCTTTTTCCCTGCTTCTAAGCAGATAGCAGTGCTTATGACCTTCTTTGAGATAATTTCCTTTGCAACCCAAGGGTATATTAATTCCAAGTTCAAAGTTGTTCCTATGAGTTAAACTGAAATTCCTTCTGCTACCATACAGTCTGATTTCGGAAGGCCATGCTGCAAAACTTGAAAGATTTTTGCCTCCTACATCCCTATCATATTGACATATGAGCATGTTCACTGTCTTAAGCATTTGAACCTTTATAGTTGTCCTTCATGTGGAACCACTGAAAACATATTTCTAACTGAAACTCAAAAGGATAGGCAAAGAAATCTGAGGCATTTCACAGCAGCTTCAAGTTCTGTCCATCTGAAATTCAAGGGGAACTTTCCTACATGTTGGGAATAGAATAGCTCAGCTAACTTTTGCCATCTGAAATAAGAATTATATGAAAAGGTATCATTGGTTTGTTGCCCTCCCCCCACAAATATATGCTATTAGCAATTTTTATTTCCCTAATGTAATGCATAAAATTCAGTGAGATAACAATGGAATGTTCCTGAAGATTCATACAATATAAGGACATTTTTATATTCCAAATGACATTAAGATTCTTAAAATCAATGGAACAGCATAGCAGACATTATACAATGATCAGTGTTTAGGCATTTCAATTTATTCATATTTGTTAAAGGAATAATGGATTCAAGGTAAAGTACTCATTAAAAAATATTGCTTGGTATTTGTATTAGTAAAGAAATAAAATTTACTGTGAAGAAATATGAATAAAGGGACAGAAGATAAAAAATTATAAAAGTATTTGTTTTGGTTTCCTGTTTTAAAAGAACACAAGATACTAGAAAAAAGAAATATAAAATGATCAAAGAAACAGTCTTTGCAAAAATAGCTTTCAGAGGTTATTTCAGAGGTAGATTTTATATCAAGAAACATAACAAAAGGATTAATAAGAAAAGAATTTATAAAATTATGACAGTAATGGAAGGAGAAAGAAAAGATGTTTATACTATAAGGAATTTTTATAGTACAATATTAACATATATCATTTTGTTTTCTACTAGTTAAAACAGTAGAAACTTAATTTAGCAGTCATCAATTTAATGGATTTTAAATTAATTGGACAAAAATTGAGTTCATACTTCACCATTATTTCGCAGACAATCACTTAGGCTTAATGGATAACTCTAAAAATTTTCTGGACAATTTACATATATTGTAATTATGCAAACTATGAACATTTCAGAATTAATGGACATTTGTGTTTAACACAAATACTCTGTCTGTCAAATGAGCCATTAAACAGAGGATATATTATACAGGTAGTCCTTAACTTGTTAAGTGAATCACTGCAATTATTAAATTAGTAACATGCTTGTTAAGTGAATCTGGCTTCCCAAATAACTTTGCTTGTCAGAAGGTAACAAAGGTAATCTCATGACCCCAGGAGACCGCAACTATCTTATATATGAGTCAGTTGCAAGCATCTGAATTTTGTTCATGTTATCACAGGGATGTTGCACTGGAAGTAAATGTGAAAAATGGTGATATGTCACTTTTTTCAATGACGTAACTTTGAATAGTCACTAAACAAACTGTTGCAAGTTGTAGATTACCTATATTGTTTTTTTTTAAGTTGATCGATATTTTGGATAACACATTAATGGCTGCCATTAACCTCTGAACACTGGAAAGCACAGAAATTGAAAATCCACCTCTTGTAATTATGGATTTAGAGGACTATGATTGAACAGAAAAAGTAGAAAATAGAGATTTATCTAATCACATAAAACAGTTCTTTAATACATACTTCTTATAAGTCTCTAATATATAGTCTAGAAGTATATCATTATTTCCAATGTTCCATGTGCTCTTGATGTAATATATCCAATACCAATTAATATACTATGATATATTTAATAGGATAACATATTAATTTAATATAGTGTAATTAAAATATATTACACTGCACACACTATAATAAACTTAGATGTATCTAAATACATCTAAATAGAAAAAGATAGCTTATATAATTTTTGATAAATTTACAGCTGCAAATTATAAAATTGTTCATAAGATGACATCTTCACATTCCTACTATGTTTTCCTACCTTTGGAGGGACATGTCCACAGCATTACTCCTCCTATTGGCATGAGAGAAATTGAAATGGTGGGACATTTATATCAATACTCTCCTCGTTATGGAGATTGCCATCTCATATACTATATGCTGTGCCTATTAGTATAAATAGGCACAGCATATAGTATATGAGTATAAAGTATAAAAATATCAAAGTTGGATGATCATTTCAGAATCCTTTCAGATTAGAATGTAGCTGTTTTTGATATCATGACCAAATCTTGTGCAACTGCTATTATAGATAGCCAGTATTTGGCCAAATTGAGTTTTATTGCTGTTACTTTGCTACTTTTATTTAAAATTGATGTAAATGACTGAGTGTATTTTAGCATTTTGTGTATTTTATAGTTGCCAATCAAAAACACCAGGCAGTCCAATTTTATTCATTAGATCAGTGTTTTTCAACCAGTGTGCCACGGCACACTAGTGTGCCGTGACATAGTGTAAGGTGTGCCGTGGGAAAATTACTTTATATATAGTCAATATAGGCACAGAGTTAAATTTTTTTAACATTTTCTAATGGTGGTGTGCCTCGTGATTTTTTTCATGAAAAAAGTGTGCCTTTGCACAAAAAAGGTTGAAAAACACTGCATTAGATGTTGCAGATTAAGAATTGCAACAAAATGTGGCAGACTGCAAGTATGCTGTTCAGGGTATGCTGTCTGCTTTTGTTATTCTATTTACTTGATTTGTTATTTGCCCCTCTTTAATATCAACTCATATCAGTCCTGACTTCTATTTCTGACCCTCCTTCATCTAGAATTTTCCTCCCTAAATACCGTATGTCAAGAAAATTGTTCATTACTTACTTAAGTGGCCTTATTAGGGGCTCTAAAAATTTTTCCAATAGGTTCTTTTATTATATGATGATAATGAAGGAACTTGTTTTAGTAAGAAATATATTTCCCTTGATTTCTCTTCTAGAGGGACTTACTTTGTTATATTTCACTGTTGTCCTATTCTTCCAAACTAATAAATGATATATTATGCATCAATAAAATTTGTTATGACATCTAGTCCTGTTTTAGAGACAGTATCCTGTTTTTGTATTTTATGTTCTAAAGCACTTAACTATTTCTCTAGTAATTGATGTAAAATTTAGCTTGCTACCAATATAACTGAGTTTTTAGCATAGGAACCTCTGAGATATGAGCATAGGAACCTCAGTTGTGAAAATATATCCCAGTTCCACCCCACAAATCACCCCATGAAAGGTATAAGTGAAACTGGGCCTTTGCTACAGTCAGTCCTTATTCAATTGTTGGAGCATTCCCAGTAGTGCATTAAATTTTAACAAACAAGGATCCAAATACACAGCCTTCCCCCTGTCACCAAAAATTCTCCTGAACAAGACTTTGTCTGTTACATCCAAAACAGCAGGATTGCAGTTTACCTGAATGAGGAAAGAGAAGCAAGTTCAAAGGCCTTGTGCCTAGATACCTATAGGAGCTGTATCTTCAAAAAGAACATTCACATCTCCTGCTCTTGCTGGTACATTCCAGGTAGCATACATATAGGTAGCATAGTGGACATGCCGAGTTGAAACCCAAAATGAATTGTTGAAGTGGCATCAGAGCTATTGAAAAGAAGACATGACAGATATAGGAAAAAAAACCTGCCAACCATTATCATACTTTCTTATATTTCATTAAGGAGAAACTCTCACTCTGACAGTATGATGTCCATTCACAATCGACAGAATATTTGAGCTGTGTCACTTCCTTGTAAATGGCCATTATTATTTTGTTTTGATGAAAAGGTTTAATGGGCCATGTAGTGTCTAGCTTAGGCCAATAAAAGATTAATATATCTTATTTATTTACTGCTTATAGAAAAAAAGTTTATTTATTACCAAAGCTACAAAACGTTCCTTTTCATACACAATGAAAGTTTTTGAAGACATTTTATAAAGTTACATGAATACCAATACAATTTCCTGAAGTTCTATAGCAAAACATAATTTTCTATACAGAGCATTTCCATCCTTTTGTATTTAATTTATAATATTTTGGAAAATGGCCCATACTTTGCACTGTTTTGAAATTCATTCTTATTCTTGGTTCATATTTATGAGAACTTTCTAAATTCTTAAATTCTCTGCAAATGAGGTTGGAAAGAAGAGTTGAATGTGGAAGAACATGATAATCCTTATGTATGTTTAATTCTTAAAGTTGTCAGTGAAACCCCAGTTTATTTAACCATGATAACATGCTGATTTAGAGTATAATTATGCAGAATGGGAAGCGCTTGAAATTTTAAGGATCAAACTAAATGCTAACATTTAGTTTGATCTTAAAATTTCAAGCTCTTTCCATCCTGCATAATTCATCCATCTGTACACCATTTCCCTATTATTTACTATCATCAATTACACTACTACTTGTTTACACATTATAGTTTTCTAAGCAGTTATAGTGAGAAATGATCTACTGTATGCTTAATATGTTTCACTGTTTTGTTTTTTCATTCTTTTTGCAAGACCAGCTTGAACTTACATGATTTAGATTGTGAATTTGTGTGTCACAACTGTTTCATCAATCCTTAGCCATACTTTTTTTTAGATTAAAGCTGTCATTGGGTTAAGCTACCAGTTTTGGATATGGCTGCATTATCTTTATTAATGGAATGAAATGTTCAAAAGGAAGAGTATAATTTAAATTATTATTATATCATTTAACTGTGTGTGTTTTAGTGGTTTACAGCATTGTTGTAAGAATTGCAAAATAGTCCTTTTCCCTCATCTCCTTTTGTAAGATGCTTTTGTAACAATCTTTTCATGTATTTATATTTCATTCAGGGAAAGAAGAAGAAGAGGAAAAGGGACAAGCAGCCAGGAGAAACCAATGGTAAGTAAAATTAGTATTTCTTCCTTATAGAAACAAGGAAGGCCATAATTTCCTAATTAGAAAGTTAGAAAGTTTGTAGCCTTATTTCTTAGAAGTCCATTAGTCCATCCAGCTTTTTCTTGCTGTGTTTTAAATACCACTAAAATTGGTTTCATACTGCTTGCCTTTTAAAACATGTAGCCAAAGAAGTGCATGGATACTCCTGCAATAGTAGTCACATTTTCTTTAATAACTACAAAGCCATTCACCATAGCGCCATAGTTTGTTAATGCATATGGCATTTTTAATCTAAGATATTTGCTGTGTCTGTATGTATCTGTGTGTGTGTGTGCGTGCGCATCTGTGAGCTTGACATTAATTTCAGCTGTACCTGTGTGGTCTGATGCATGCCTTTACAATGGTAAATTACAGCCATTGTTTTTTTTTAAATTAAGGAGGTTTGCCATTCTTTCTAGAAAATTAGAAATACTGCATAGGCAATCTCATAGTCAATTTTGGAAAAACCCTGATTATTTTTTTCCTTTGAAGACTTTGTATAATTTGTTCTTTTTTTTCAGAACACAGCGAATGTTTCCTAAATCCTTGCCTTTCACTTCCTCCGATTACAGGTGCTAATGTCATTTTCAGCCATTTAAAAGTAGTTGCGTAAATTGCTTTACATTTTTTTCCTTTTGCCATTTTAGATTTTATTAACATTTAAACACTGACATAACAATAATCATTCACACATCTGTAGCATATATGTATATTTATAATGTGCTATGATTGATAGTTTTGTTTTGTTTCTGATTTGTTATTCATTACAATGGCAATTAAACAGGAATGCAGTAAAAGTAACTCAGTTATACTAACTGTGCAAATTGAATATGCAGTATTTCTTTAAAGAGACTGATCTAAACTGAAAAACCCTTAATAATGAACCTCCTTAATCTAATGGCATTTCACGCAGCACCCACTAAGTCTTCTCATGCCAGCATGCAACCACAATATTTTTTAAAAAATTATTTTATTTTCCATTTCTATTCCAACATATTCATGGCTATTCTCTGCTTTACTTGCATACTGCTTGCTTCCATGCTTCTGATCATTTTGATTTCTGGCTGAAACTAACATATCCATTTTGCTATCTGCTTATTCTGAACCATTTTTAAAAAGAATAAAAGAACAATAAATGGAATGTTTATTTCAAAGCTGCATTATCCCCCCCTACCTCCTCCAAAAGAAACTTTTCTTTTATTCCATTTTGTTTCATTTTTAAAAAGAAAGCATGTTGTAGATCTTCATATTGAACTGATCCTCCCTACGCTTATTTTGGTGTTTAATACCTAGCCCAACTGTACAGTCCATCAAGCCTTGTTCTCATATAGCTCCTTTTGAATCTGGAGCTAATGAAGGAACAGTTGATGGCTGCCTTTTCAGTGCCTCTTAACTGGTTAAAGTTTATTTTTTTTATAGACAGTCCTTTCCAGGGATACTGCAGCTTTAATTGCAACAGCTAATCTCAATATTTTGATAAATGCAATAGTCACTATTTTTTTAAAAAGAAAAAGAAATGAACAATCAAACGTTTATATTATACAGTTAATAATGAGGTCATTGATTTTATTTCCTTCTTATTTTTATTTTTATTTCTTTTTTTTCTTCTTTTTTTTCTTATCTTCTCTCTTTCTCTTTCTCTCTCTTTCTGCTCGCTTCTTTCTTGACCTCATTCAGACCTGAGCGCTCCTAAGAAATGCCGAGCGCGCTTTGGCCTTGATCAACAGAATAACTGGTGCGGTCCCTGCAGGTGTGTATAGTCTCCCCCCCTCAACTTGCAATGGCTGGTTTTGCAGCTGGTTTATTTGGTACTTTCCCTGCCCTTCCCTTTTCTCCTGCTTCGTTGCTTTGTAGCTCTGTGTTGTGATCTAGAACACACAAGGGAGTGGAATGCTGCTGTGAATGATCCTCTCTTTCTGTTTAAAGGATTTTGCTCTCCTTCACCTATTTTGTTTTCTTCCCCCTCCTTGTCACTGCGGCTAGCTGAAAAAAATTCCCACTGTAAGACGGCGTCAGCCTAGACTTGCACACACAATTCCATCATCCTCTCTGGAAAGTTGCATACATTGTTAGAAAACATTGCCAAACATCCTTTGATATCACAGTGCAGCAGTTCAGCAGACAAGACACAGGGCTAAGTCAAGGTGCACAGCAGGTGTAGGCATTGTAGGTGTGTGTCACCTTGCAGAGATCCTCTTTCTTTCATGCCCTTTGGTCTGAGAGATTGGCAGTGAACAGAGTGAAATGTTAGCTGTAGCTGAGATTTCGCATCCAACTGAGCTCTATCCACCATTGTGTTGTTGTTGTTTTTTATGTTTACCTTGTGCTAACAGATGCAAATACTCCCAAGAAGTGTCGGGCATTGTTCGGGCTTGACCGACAGACTTTATGGTGCAAACCGTGCAGGTATATAACCCATTAGGCCTTTTGGGAAGTAAATGAACTTTGTCATCTTAGTGTTACATGTGTGGTTTATTTTTAACCCTTTCCTCTTCCTGCTCTCTTCCTTGCTTCTGTGAGATCAGATTGCTAATAAATTTTGATCTTTGACATTCTTTGCTGATTCAATACAAATTGAATTTTCTTCCTTGAACAATATCTCTTTTGGTACCTGAACTGGATTGGTTATGCACACATACTCATCTGTGGAGAAGTAACTCACTTTTTTTTTATCCAAGCAAGAAACTTCAGTATTTCTTGTGTTAAGTAAGCATTTACCTAAGGATCTCTGTGTATATCTAGAATCTCCAAAGGATATTAAAAGGTGTTATCATTTGCAACAAGATATACTCAGATCTGAGCAAAGAAGATGCAAATTGGAATTTTACAACTTACAATGTTGAATCATTCAAATGATGAATGGCTTTTTACTAATGGAACAGTTTTATGCCTTCTCCTCCAATGCTCTGCACTCCTTTTGGCATGTCATTTATGCAGTAGAAGGGGGCACAACTATGAGAAAGGAATTCATCACTCGATCTGATGTTCATCTTATTACTAAAATGTAAAGTTGGCATACACAGAAGTCACCTAGAAGAAATATTTATATTAGTGCATTTGTTAATTCAAGTTGAGAATTAAAGGCACGCAAAACAACAACTGAAACAACCTTCTGCAGGTTTAAGATCCCTTGGTAAATTCTGTAGGCACATGGTGAAGGGAAGCAAACTATCTTTCTTTCTGCATTTTTCCCCTAATTATGGTTAAATTTGTTATTTCTCTGTTCTGATCCAAGCAGTCTTTGAATTTGGACTATTATGATGGTAGGTATTTTAATCTGACACACACTCTTTTCTGTATGTAGTGCTTCCCTCTTCACCTTCCCCTCTGATTCACACCCTTATCATATGCTTCATTCCTTTTTTTAGAAAGTAGAGCAGTTATTCATGTTATATGCATGCCAGTACTGTTAGTTTTGTGATGCTGAGCTATACACATGGATTGAAAATGATACATTTAATTAATAAAGTTCATGCATAGTCCTGGGGGAGGGAGTGTTGAATTCCACCTATACCCTGTAATTTTCCATGCATGCTTAAGAACTATGATTTGTGTGAGAGAAGCAATAATAATAGCAAATGCTGTTGTCAAGTCATATATTAAATGCCTAAATTTTATAGCTAAAACTCATGTGACCAAAGGCATCTATTCTTGTATTAATCAAACATGGTATATTGAGGTAGTGTTCCAAATTTGTACTCAGTAAAACCACATGTTTTGAGCTCGGAAAGACCAACAGTGTTGATGTCACAAAAACAGCAGGTAGAAAAAGATCCCCTTATTTAAGTAATAGAAGATTTTGGCATAGGCATTTCCAATTAGACATTACATCTGTGCATTTCCATATTTACTCTACCCTGGCCTGCAAAAAGGGCATAGATAATAGAATATAATTTCTGATCCAGTGCAAGACCTTAAAAAAACCCTTTGGGTGGGCCATATCTTGAGAGAAGAACGGAAAGGGATGGCATTGATTGTCAGATGTAATTTCCAGTTTACTGTCATTACTCTAAATTACAGTAGCATCTTTCATTAATCATGTATTGTAACTGGAATTTCCAGTTTTGAAATTTCTTGTTATTGATGTGGAATGCTTTTAGTATACTATCCTTGAGTTGTGCACATTAAAAATGGCATGTTCTTTTAGTAGAACATAATTTCATCTGGATGAAAAAACATTCTTCAGACTAGGACTTGGAAGCTATAATGTGTGTACATTTAATCTTGTAGGTTTTTTTTAAAAAAATTGCAATAAATAATGTTACATTACAGCCCTTAAAACCATGTGACTTTATTAATATACTGCAAGTTCATTAATGCAGTAGATTTCAAACAGACAAATAATATTGTTAATTTTGAAAAATCAGCTTCGTAATCAGTAAGACCAAACAGCTACTCTCATGTCACGATTTATAGAAAACTTAGTAGTCCACCTTTTTATTGATTTCTTGCTCTCAGAAGGAATAGTGGTCTATTCTTCATAGTCCCATTTGGCTACAACATTGAAATTAAAGGTTTGTTTGAATTTTATTTATAATATCACTTCTACTGTAGATAAACAAATAATTGTGGAATAATAACAAAGTATCCTCAGTTTTCATTTGGGCTAGATTTTCTATGTGGGGTGAAATACCATTTATTGAACATTAAATACTTTGTTCAAAGATATATTGATTGTTAATTGAACATGATTTTAAGCTAAATATTTTGTCCACACTCCAGTAATTCAGAAATAAAAAGGAATAGATACATTATCTATCTGGTAGTATATATCCAATGAAACACCCTAACTATGTTTGTGTGTGTTTTTAAATGAAGCAAGTTACTAATACTTGAATATATGAGAATAGTGAAGGTAATACATGTATTCTAAATAATTAAATATTAAGGTGGCCTGATTAGAATATCCAGTGGTCAAACTTCTTTTTTCACCTCATAATATTGATTCACATAAAATCAACTAGAAAATAAGAAAATACCTATTTTATCATTTGGATGATAATAGCACAGGGTTTTCTAAACAACAATCTGAATATAATCTAAATTTACCATTTGTTCTGAAAATGTTTATGGGTAGAGAAAGTATAAATATGCTTCAAAGAAATAAAATAATAAGAGGAACAGCATTTTTCGTGGAAAACGCAGCAGCCACTAGAATCCTCTCAGAATTAAAACTCATTAATCCAATTGTAAATGTATAGCTAATGTATTTCATCTAGGTGTGCAACAGTAATTGCACATGTCCTAAGGCACATTAATACCTGCTGTCTTTCAATATGTAGAGATAAGTTTGCTCTAATTATAGTGGATAAGAGACTGATTTTAATTTGAAGTGATTTTTAGAAACAGTTGACAGCAACCAAACTCATAACATCAGCAAAGAATATGGCAATAAAGTTTCTGGATTACACTACATTTTGACTTAATGTTTATATTTCCTTGGTCAAGTATTGCAATATATTTAAATTGAACAAGAGAAAATTGTGTGGTAGAGAGTGAAGTAAATTAAATTTTGAGCACTGATCCCAGCCCTACTATATATGAAATGTTCAATGTAGGAATATGTCACTATCATCGTCATCTCAGGACAAGAACATGTGTACTTCTGTTACTTTTCGTATTCGCTGATCCTTATAAGTTATATCTTTGGCAACCAGGACCTCAAAGAGAGGCATGTGTAAGATTGATGACGGAAGGAAGGGCGCTATATTTTGAAACCGTACCCATTTACCCATAAACAAGTATACACCTATGCTTTGTGCTGCATGGCCTGCCAGAACTTTCTACCAATAGCATGGGAAATTATTTACATGGTCCGCCTTACATTTACTTGTAGGGACTTCTGTACTACTTGGAAAACTGCTTTGTTCGGGCAAGACTTTGCATGCCAAGTGCTAAATGTCTTCATAGAATGAATTCTTCAAATATGAATAGCACTATGTCAGCTATATTGCACATTTCCCTTGGGTCAGTTAAAAAAAAACCAAAATACTTCTTTAAACACTTATTCAGTGGCATTGCCTCCTTTTTGCCCGTAGAGACTAATTAAAAAGTAAGGCATAAAGGATATGAAATTAGAACATTGAACTCCATTAATTTAAGCCTAATATAGTTGTGATTAGTGTATAGGAGATTATTGTATATAGGTTTAGTAAGGTTTTATTTAGAGCCCACCAAACTGCTCTTTCTGTCTTTTTCTTGCCTTAATACAGCATGATTTGCTATTGCCTGCCATCTCAACCTTTTCTGTTACTTTCTTATCTTTGTTACAACTCACTTTTAATGGTTTCTTTCTTAAATTTTACATGCATGCCTCTCTTAATTTCTAGCATGGATCAGTACATTAGTGTGATAAAAATTCTAACAGTTGAATGTGCTTTGGGCAGAAAATCTAACTATTGAGGGGGGGGGGAAGTTTATTTCCAAATGTGTATGAAAACTCTATGGAACAAATGTTTTCAGATGCTAAGATTTATTTATTCAATGTTTTTTAAACATGGCCTGTTAGCTTCTTTATACCAAATGATTGGTCCATCTTCTTCAGTATTGTCTATTTACCAGTAGTTGTGGTTTTATATGAGAGGGAGTATAAAGAAATGAATCTGGGTCTTCAGAATGAAAACAAACCTCTAACTCACATATAATTTGTGATCAAAGCTGCAAAGTCCTGCACCCAAACAGACATCACTGCAATGAAAGGAAAGCTGTGAAATGAAAAGCAGCAACAATAAACTGCATATTCCTTTATTGGATTTTACACTAATAACTTTCTGGTAACAGGAACCTGTCTTCTGTACAGGTTTCTTTCTCAGAATACTGCTTAACTGCAATCTATGGCAGTATCCATTGTTCTTTTTACATTTTTTGAAAATATTAGCTAATGCTTTCATCGTGACAACAAATGTGCAAGTTATTTTCAGCTGGTTAATTTATTTTACCCTCATGAATATATTTAGCAAAGAAAAATCAGTATTTTCTATGACCGGTTTATATTTGGTCTACAAGCTACATTCATTGTTAGCGTCCTATTTTTGTTCTCCCTATAGACATATCTGCTGAATACTATGCTGCATTGTGCATTGGGCAGGTGTCATCTTTATATAAGTTTGATAAGTGGGGCATGGACAATGGCTTGACATAATAGGGCTGATTTACTCTTTTAAGATGATACTGTTGCTTAATGTGTGCACTGCACCAACCATTTAGACTTTCTTTAAGTTGCCAAAATGAATTCAAATGACATTCCTCTAAATCAAAGTAAAAATTGAATCCTCTCACTCGATCCTTAGAAAAAAATAATATATATGATAACTTAAACCCTGCAGGTAATACAACCAGTTATTCTTGTTAACTTGGATGATACTTATGTTAATCTTTCTTTTTCTTCATTCCCCACTTTTATTTTTCCTACTTTCTCTTTTTCTTTTTTGTCTCTGACACTGTTTTTTCCCCCCACTCAACATGGTGTGGTTCTAAACAGAAACATTCAGAAGTGATAGATATTCACCTACTTTTGATTCATAGGAGGCAGGACTCAATGAAAGGAGATTCCTGAGTTAATATATAATCTAATTATATAAATAAAATTTTAATGAAATTTAAAATATTGATTTGGTATCAGTCAGACAGAATCAGCAACATGGTAGTTGTTTAATGGAATGAGAATATACAAACTACAGAATTAAACAATAAAATGCATTCATTTAATGCAAAAGTAATGTGATTTTTTTTGTTAAAACAGGCTAAACAGCAAATTGCTCTAGATAGCAGAGACAGATTTCTGAAATAATGATTGTCCAGTAGTAACTAGTACTATGTTACTATATTGGACGTGGTTAAGGAATCCAGCATCATTTGTTGGTCTTTTAAAAAAATCTTATTCTGATTACAATTCAATAGCATATTTTCTTGTACTTACAGGAGATATATTTTTTTCTGTTTCTAGGAGAAAAAAAAAGTGCGTTCGCTACATACAAGGTGAAGGCAGCTGCGTCAGCCCACCCTCTTCAGATGGAAGCCTACTAGATTCTCCTCCATCTTCTCCTAACATGGTAGCCTCCCCCACAAGAGACTCAAAACCACAGACTGAACAGACCCAGCCTCTCTCACTTACATTGAAACCTGATCCATTGGCACACCTTTCAATGATGCCACCTCAGACATCCTCCATAATCCTGACTGAAAGCTCTACTGGCAAATCCAATGGTCTGCCTGCGAGTAATTGTCAGAATGGGGCACTGGACCATCAGTCAGCCACTCTACAGCAATCAGCACCGGCCTCTTCGTTAACTCAACCATCAACATCCTCTTTGCATTCCCATAATTCTTTGGCTGGGACACAACCTCAGCCCCTGTCACTTGTAACTAAGTCTTTAGAATAGCTTTAGCTTCTGAGTGTTCTTTTTATTTTCATTTTTCTGTCAGGATATTTTTTTTCCTCTCATTTGTATTTTTTTTAAAAAAATGGTGCCATATGGCTGGCTACATTAGTTAATGTCAATCAAGTTCATTGGTCAATATTTGACCCATTGTTATTTCATTTCTTTTTCTTTTTAAATATGTAGATGGAAAAGAAAGCCTCATGATTCTGCCAAAATTTTTATCAACAGCTGTTTAAAGTCTTTGTAGCGTTTAAAATATTATATATATATATATACATATAAATATATATATACATAACTGTTATGTAGTTCCAATAGTTTAATTTCAAAGAACTGATTTTAAAAATGAAAAAAAGAAGCAATTTTGAAGCAGCCTTTGTTGAAGGCGTTGGTTCTTTATTATTTGTATTAAATACGAGCTTGCGAACCAATCATTTTACATCTGGTTTTTAAATTTTTTTTAAAGGCACAATGAATGCAGTGCCACTAATTTTTTCCATTTTTTTTCCTTTGTGCGATACAACTTTTTCTTGTGACGTTATTTGTTATTGTTTAAATGTACAGAAACAAGGGTTAAAATGTGTTAATATGCATTGTTCCATGGTGTTGTCCTTTTGGGGGGAGGGAATGCTACTCAATTAAAAAATATCACAACGCTATTGGACCAGTAGTATTTATTGCTTTAGAAATTGCTTGTTGTTACCTGTATGTTGTCCATTTTTTAAATGTTTTCATTTCTCCCCTTCAGATGTTTTGTAAAGTTTATTTCCCTTTTAGTGTACACACCATATATATATATAACAACTCATTTGTACAAGGTTTTTAAGTTTATGTATAAATGTTATATATATTTTTGTTTATTACTTTTTGTTTTATTTACTTTAATTCTTTATTTTGTTTTCTATCATGCAGTTGCCACCAAATGGACATTTGCAGATGGATCAATAGTATGTATGTGTGTGTATATAAAGCTTATATATAAGCTTTAAAGCCATTACATGAAATAAGACTTGAAAAATTAGCCCAGAACTTTTTTGCGATGCTGTTAGAAATACAGCAGTGTCTCCTTTTGGAATACAAATAAATTTCCCTGCCAGTTGTAGACTGTGAGCAAAACTTTATGTGCCAAAATTCTCAGTGATTTTTGTCTTTACACAACAACTTTTTTACACTGTATTTTTTTCTTCATCCTGTTTTGCTGTGATGTTACATAGGTAGATATGTATGTAGTTTTTAATGTCACCTATTACAGATGTGTTTAGTAGCAGATTGTCCAGAAAGCATTTAAAAATGAAGAGGTATAAACCCTAAAGGGCCAAATTCTGTATAATAGACTGTTCATAAAAGGAAAAATCAGACTGCCACTTCTATGTACACTTAACTACATACAGGTAGGTAGCAAAGTTTTAAAAAAAATCCTAGGCATGTTGATGTTGCAAAAGAATTTTTTTAAAGATAAAATGCTGTATAAAGCTGAAAAAAATGTTCATCTGTTCATCCAGTGCCATTGTAGTTGACATGAAGCTATTGTAAAACTGTCTCCAGTTTTCTTCTCTGGTTTATTAAAGATGCTAACTATGACATATTTTTTTGGCGGGGGGAGGGGATCCTTTGAATGTTTTCTAACAGTTGTGATGTTACTGTTCTGTTTTATTGCTCTTATTCCAATTTTTCATTTTAATGGTTTGGAAGCCATTTTTGTAATGAATAAATGTCCATGCTGTACAGTATCTGTAGCATGCAGTTCTGGATTAATAAAAGCAACTTAGTATGTGCAGATGAAAAGTTTCAGCTCATTTACCATAGGCTTCCTTTAATCCTTGGACTACCTCACAGCCAAAAAATCCTTCAACATTGTACTTTTTGCCTCCATCTTATATAACAGCTACATAATCTCTGTGTTCATAGTTTGTGTAATAAATTGTCAACAACCATGGTAAGGATAGTTAGTAAATATTTATTAATTGCTAATCTGAAGGCTGTGTAGGAAGTTTTCTATTCAGAACAATATGCAATTGACTCAGAACAATAAGAGATGGGACAGGTAAATTATTGCTAGGAATTGCCCAAATGTACAGTATGTACTAAATTTGGACCCCATGATCTAATAATTTAAGATAATCATTGAGACTGTTGTTGGGGATTTTTTATATAAAAAAACTAGGGGTCCCTTTAAAAAAGCTAAGAAATTCTAGTAGTTTCAAGAAGCAATTAAAAGAAGAAGCACATAAGTCTCAGTGCTTCTGCTTTCCATAACTTCTTGCAGTAAGCAAAAGAAGATAATTTTCCTCATTCTACATTATTTGTTTGTTAAATTTTTATTCCACACTATCTCCGGAAGCTCAAGATGCTTAGTTGTAGATTTCCCTTCAATATTGAAAGATTACAGACTTCTTTCCTTGCCTAATCCTGTGACTGGAACTTACTGTAAAAGTCCCATTACAAATACTAGAAGAAGGAAGAATTTCTCTTTTACGTTAAATCCTACGCTTGTCTCAACAACACCTTCATTCTGGATTTTCAATAAGCGCAAACAAATTGTTTCCTGTATTGGAGAACAGATGCAACATCTGCATTTAACTGCAATGATAAAATGCATCTGTAACACATAAAATACTGAAATGACTGTTACTGCCAAAGACTTCCAATTACTTTTTGTTAAATTCAGTTTTAGGCATTTGTGCTTTAATGGTCCATGGTAAACTTTACAAGATTAATCAGTTCCAAGAGTTTTAGACATCAGTTTCAGATGCTGTAGAAAATACTTATTCCATCAATGTATGAATCCTATAATTGGCAGCCAGTTTTGTTCTTGTTTTCATTATTTTTTTTTTCCTGTCCAGCATTATTTTCTCACAAGGGAAATTCATTATACCTTTTAAGAAGTGATAGAAAAGTATATCACTACATAAGTCCATCACAAATAAAAAATGTGTCTGGAACATTTGATTTAGAATTTATGCCCAAAACTGTTCAAGAGAAATTTGTACAGTTTGGAATGGTTTAGGGGAGTTTTGCTTTTTGAAGATTCTTAGAATCTAATCATATGCTAAATTTAATGGGTATTTTTCACCTAAAATGAATAGAGTTAACAATTACAACATATCCATATTTTGTATGTATATTTACAAAATGTAGATTGATGGACAATAATACCATGAACATAGGCATAGTTTTGTAGCATTCTTCCACTTGCATCTATACAGGTAATCCTCAACTAACAATCATTAGTTTGACAAGCATTTGAAGTTATGACAGCCCTGAAAAAAGTAACTTACACCTGGTCTTCACACTGACACTTCACGGAGTCTCCACAATCACATGATCAGACTCCAGGTATTTGTCAATCAGATTGCAGTATCCCAGAGATGTGATTGACAATGGAAAAAGCCAGATTCACTTAACAATTGTGATTCTCCTAACACCATACAACAATTGTGATTCTCTTAACAACCATGCTTAATGACTGTGGCAAAAAGAAGGCAATACAATTGGGTGCATCTCAGTGATGGCATCACTTAGCAGTGAAAGGTCTATCCCAGTTGCGGTTGTAAATTGAAGATGACTTGTATTGGAGGTCATAAAGCATAATAGTCTAGAAGATGATATAATGGAGAAAATAAAATAAAAATAGGAATAAATATTGTTTGTATTTCTTTTTCCCCTGTAAGATATGGAGATACTTAAACCAGAAGGGATCACATCCTGTATTCCTTTTTCTACTGTCCTATATGGTGACTGCAGATAAGATATACTAGTAATGCTTTAAAAAATATTATGATGTTTACAAAAAGATGATATTAAATAATCTTGTATAATTTGGAGATAGTATTAGGCCCACCATTTTATTTTTATTCAATTTGAACTATTTATATTTATAATTTATATTTATAATACCAAGAAATACAAAATTTAATTTGTACTACCTATAACTGAAATAAGAAACCATGTTGTGACCGGAGACAAAGTTTCTAATTACTTTATCCAATCAACTTTGATTGTGCAATGATATAGTGATGACACCAGGGTGAAATCTTATTACATCGATTTGCCTCCTCATTTAATGATAAAAAAATCATAACATACAACACTGGTGACCTGACATTGTATTTCAACAAAATGATCTTTCAGGACATGAAATTGACATAAAACTAAGGCAGAACAGTCACTTCCCAGTTGTTTCTTACCTGTTCCTGTCCTATATAATTATTTTAAAAAGTATATTTGCAGCCATGAGTACTAATTCACCACAAATTTTGAAGAAAAGATGGAACATAACGTCAAAAATACTTTTAAAAAGTAAAACAGTTTTTCTTCAAAATCTTGCATATATTTAACATAAACCTCCAAACAGGTGAAACTAAAGCAGTGTGTAATACTATAAAGCTCAATAAAGACATCCTGTTTGGAATATTATTATAGTTCCATAAATATCTGCTGCTGAAATGTAAGAAAGTGGTGAAAGACCTATATTGGTGAAATTCTGGTCTTCGCAGCTCTTAAAAGGATAGAACAACTAAGACATATATGCAGTCATTTCATTATGGTTTATTTAGGCTTATTAATTGAATATAGTTTTTACCTTCCAGTATTGAGACAGTGCTATTATGCTAATTTGCTATGACTGGATTCTTTCTAGACTTCTCTCACTGTTGAAAGAGAGAATGAAGGAGTGTAACTACAAAAGACAGACCCAAATGTACATTTTCCAAAAAGATAGCTGGACAAACCCAAGAAAGTCCAATTGCCTTTTGGAAAAAGCACCTTTAGGACAACCGTGACTTGAATTCCCCCTCCCCCCCCCAGTTTTTTATATTCCAAAATGTAAGAAATGCATTAGGACATTAGGGGAAGGATTTTGTTCTGCTGTGTGTTTATTTCTTCTTTCATTTGTCTTAATAGTTGCTAAAATCAGTATTCATCCATGCAGAGTGTGAAGTACACTAGAACCTTTTGACTTTATGGTCTTCTCTCTTTTCATCTCCTTCATCTAGCTTTTGTTCAGATTCAATGTCTTGCTTTCTATCAGCATTATAACCCTTAACTTATTTTTGGTTCAACAAATTTTCACAAAGCCAATTGATCTTGCATGATACAAATTGGAAATGTTTCTTCTTCCTGGGAATTTAAAATGCTCAAGAACCCTGCATGCCATGACATCAGAACAGGCAGGATCACAGTGAACAGTACCATGTCACTTTCATATGCCATTCCTACTCCTTTCCTACTCTATAAATATTCAGTTTGTTTTTTTCATCTCAGGACTTATTCAGTAAACATCTAAAATATATTAAATTCAGTTACAAACTTTCTCAATTTCTTTTGTGTTCAAATATAAACAGAGTAATTAATCTTAAATGTACAATGATTGCATAAGTAATGATTTTAACAACTTCCTTATTCCCCAAAGTACTGTTTCAGATAGATAATATAATGGTATAACAGTTTAAATCTGTTTTTTTTAATGCTGAATTAGCAAACAGGTAAGGAGAAGAGATAGTTTACCTATATGGAATTAATTTATTTTAGAAATGGGATCTTTTAAAATAGGTTTGGTATGATAGTAACAATTATTTCAGGTTGATTTAATTTAATATATTCACTATCAAAAACATTTCCCCTACTTTCAAAATACTGTTTTACCTATATATACTACATTCATGAATATTTAATTAATTAAAACTACTTTAACAACTCTCTCAAAATCAGCATCTGTTTACCTATTGTAAAATATCGTAATGTGTTTTAACCTGTTTGATATAATGGATTATGAAAGTGGATTATAGATCTGACAACATGTTAAAGACAATTCAATTTTAAGTATAATTTTATTTTACTTTTTCATTAATTGCTAATCCTGGAGGGAGAAAATTACAGCTACACAATTCAGCTTTGCTACATTTTTGTTTACCTAAGAATGGTGGCAGCTAGATACTAGCTGGATTTGGAAAATCTCCGCAGGTCAAGCTTGATTAGTAGTTGCAGACAAATGTCTATTACTAAAATATATCAAAGCTATAGACTAGGCTGCTAAGTCCCTCCCAAAACACTGGAAAAACAGCCATAGCAAGAACATTCCATATTGGTGCTATTTGCCCAAAAAAGAGAAAATAAATCATGTCTATGTAATCACAGAGATCAAATCAAATAATTTTCTTCAAATCAAGATAATCTTTTTCGCAGGAAGTGGGAGGCAATTTTGGTCAAACATACCTGGATTCAGAAGCTAAGGGAGAACACATCCTTGGCTAGGACTTAATGGGATATTACATAACATTCCTAGATTGTAGGTTAAAGTTGAGAAGATGCCTAGAAGAAGGTAATGGCAAATAACTTCTCTATTGTTGCCAAGCCAAGTTGATGGTTATATCTATGAGATATAATCTATGAGTCCAGGCAAGGTTGTCTTTATTTTTATGAATATGTACCATACGAGCCATGATACTAGCAATAGGAAAGGATGTCTTTTCTATGCTTGGAAGAAATAAGAGAGGGAAAAGAAAGATTAAATGTGCAGACAGGCCCTGAAAATATCCTTTTTCCATGTCTGACATCATTTAAATATGCAACTATTAGAGGAAGTAATTGACCAGCATAATATATTGATTTCTTTGAGTTGGGCAGCTGTGTGAATCATGGGAAGACATGCTGATGAAGTCTTAAAATGATAAAACTTTCCCCAGCAGGTTTCAATTGATTGTTGACTGATTTTTGGCAGGCAGTAAAACCAATGGGGCTGAGAATTCACCTTTAGAACTGGAAGTGTGTTTTTGTGTC